CCCAATACACTTACTTTTCCTCTTCATAATATCATTATTGCTGACACAGCCTGATCGTATTACTACTGATTGACACAGGAGTATCAAACCAAGCTGGGATGCACAATTATAATTTCTAAGTATATTTCTGCTGAGCTCACTTTAGATTTTTTTGCATATTCAAAGCAGCTGGGACTTCTCAGCATCCATGTATACACATCTTGTATTAAAACAATCTTCTGCTCCCGTGCCAGGACAAACTTTGACTTTAAATGAGCTACAGATGAAGTTGGATCAAATAGCTTTAAAATCTGGGGACAAGAACACCTCAACTTAGACTACAGTGCTTTTAATTTATATATTTAACATGCAGTTTTTCATTCAGATTTTTCAGTGGCATTTCTTACATGGAAAAACTTGAAAGTAAAGACAGTGTTTGCTTTGCAAGCATGAGGAAGTCAATGTTCTACAGCAGAGGTAACAGGTTCAGTGAAACTAACGGGCAAAGCTGATTTTGTTTCTGTGTTGAGATTCTGTCCCTACCTTCAAGCAACAGGATTAACTGAAGTGTAAAGACAATGACCTGACCTGGGATTGTGAATTGAGAGAACAGCTTTCTCATTTCTCTCCTTCTCCTCACCAGTCTCTCATTGCAGCCACACAGGGCTGAAAGCCACCAGCTCTGCCCTCCAGCCAGCTCTGCTCTACCTTTTGCGCTGAGATACATAGGAGGTGGAAGGAGTCTGTCCAAGGGAAGTCTGGTTTTCCTATTGCATCTGTCTAGCCGTCCTCTTAGATATATTGTAGCCTTTCTCACCTATTGGTCTAATTTTTGGAGACTAGTATTTCTTTCTCCTATGGAGATCGGATTTCTTTCCATCATCACTCTCTCCCTTTGAGGATGCAGTGACGTTAAGGGTTGGATCACCTACAATGAGGTTTCTTCCAGAGAACCCTTTCTTCTACTGCTCATTTCCACTGCTTTATTCTTCCTCCAAGTCTTCTATAGTATTTCTATAGGGCTTTAAAGGTGTATGCAGAGCCTTTATTATGCCCATGGTGCCTTTCTGAATTACACAAAACAAAATCATTTTAGATACAGATGAGAATGAATCCATGTGTGCTTGCACTTGACTGTGCTCTACACTGCAAGATTACAATGCATTTTGCGGTCTGGGATTTACATATATAGAGACTATTAAGACCCATCTCTAAATTATATTTTTTTTCTGCTAGTAGTTTCAAAGCTGCTTCTGTTTCTCAGCTCACTGCGCATTAAGGAGAGCTGGAATGTGCCCTTATAGAATTGTTCCCAAACTTTACCTCATTGCTATCCTAATTCTAGCTGAGGTCCACTCTAATAAGCTCTTGACCACATCCACTGGCAAAAGAAGGGGAATTTCTGTTGTTCTGAGATCCCGCTCATAAATATACCAACCTCCTTTGAGGCTACAGCCGTTAATTTACGAATCACTTCTTGAGTTGTCCAAAGCAATAGTCTATGGAATTTATGTTTCAGAAATTTAGAAATCAGCTTAATTGATGGTATTTTGTATTAGTTTAATATTATTTCATCAACTGTAACATCACTGCTTGTGATTTGAAATCATGAAGAGAAAAGGAGGTCTATTAGCTGACAGAAGAGATGTAAAATAAAAGCATCTCTCCAGGTGATTTACAGGCACAGAGATGTAGATAGATGAGATTTACTAGGCTTTAGACATGGTCTGACTCTGAGTGATTCCTTGACTTTCTTGAGATGTTTCTGAATGTTACATCAAAAAATATTTATCTGTTTATCTACCCCACTGGTATCTGAACCCTAATCCTTGAGACAGTACAGACAGAAACACCTTTATTTTCTGGTCTTTGCAAGGTAAAAAAAGTCTAATTACTTTAGAGGTGTTAACTGAAATGAAGTGGAAAGGAGAGGGGCAAAGGCAGAACCTCTTCCTGCCTGTCCTGTGTGCTCAGTAGAGGGGAACATGTCTTCTTATAAGCCACTGGCTCCAAATGGGCTAGGTATATGGATCATAAGAAATAGTCATCATAGAAAATAAGATGAGATAAAAGGTAAGCAACTTTTAACTGTATTTTAGTTGTCATTTCACGCATCCTCCTCATTATTCAAAAGAAGTCAACTTTAGCATTGTGTCCAAGTCAAGGACTGATTTTAGCAACAGTACAACCCTTGAGGGAATGCATTGCCCCAAAATAACCGTTGTACAGTCACCTGTTACCACTAGATCATGATTTGAATAGTGTGGAGGTGCTCTGACAGCCTACCACAGATGGAAAATGACCCCTTTCCAGCACATGAAACAATTTCATTATGCATTTGTTTATGATACTTAAGAAGATACATTAAGATTTTCATGACTGATGAGCTGTTGGTCTACATATGGCTGAGAAAGTACTGCTTTTTGCTGAAATTAATCTTTCTGTGTTATAGACACCCACCCAATATAAACCAGGCTCAAAGTATGCAAAAAGAAGAAGTCATTATCAGGACAAAATTTTATATCAGATACATAGAGACAGAAGGAGATAAAAATATGCAATCTTCCTTCTGCTTCATCATAAAAAACTTTTCTGAAGAATTTAAAATAGACAGCCAGAAGAAATCACTGTAAACTATGAGATATTTGTTAAATTTTTAGTTTTTCAAGTAGCCAGTTCTCAAAGCTGGTTTCTTTTCAACATTGAGAGTCAGACTCTACCTTGTGCAACTCCATCAATATTCTGTGTAATTTTTTCACATGTATTATCATAAAAAAACCTGATACAGGCTGTGTGTAACACCAGTGCTGCTATGTTTTGAAAGGTATAGCAAGATTTTTTTCAGGTGGTCACTTTGCATACCACAGAATACCATGAGATCTGGTGGGATGGGAATGATCACACTTGCATGGCCAATAAACACAAGCTTGTTTGTTATTGGATCATGCATAGGCAGCAAGGCAAAACACAAATGTTACAAAAAAAAAAAAATAAAATTAGCACTTACATGATGATGGTTTTCTTGGGCACTTTAGTCTCTTGTTCAGTGACTACAAAGAAAACAGTATGAACAGCATGGGGTTAAAGAAAGGCTAAAGCTGAAATGATTGAATTAACTTTGCTCAGTTAATCAAAACAAACTGGAGTGAAAAAACCCAACTGTACCATCCCATCCATGCTTTCTGTGGTTATTTCCAGCAACACTTTAGTGTTTCTGACCAAGAATGACAATTCAGAGTGCTCTCAGAACAGTGAATGTTTTTAGCTTTGAAATCAAATATTTTGTGGAGAACAATATTGCTAAATCTGTTTACAGTATCATGAGATTCTGACATTTGTGTTTCACAGGTCAAAGCTAGAAAACAATTTGGTTTTCAATTTTTATTTTTCCTATAATAATGTAGTAATGGTGTGAGAAACCTAAAAATGCCTTGATTTGGAAAATCCTGGAGACCTGAAATTCTTTAAAATGTGATTTCACTTACTAGAAAACCCAGACACAGAACAGTTTCCAAGCTTTTGTGGACTAGATGCAAAATCCAAGCTGACAACAGTGAAAACTAAAATCATTATCATCAGTACAGAAAATCAGTATAAAAAAACCCCAACAACTAGGAAACGTAAGAGAGCCCTGTAATACATCTATGCCTACTCCATCTCTTTTTTGTTATAATTTGCAATTTTTTCCTGACCCTTCTCCCATAGCAAACTAGAAGCTGTTGATGCATATCAAGATCATAAGAAAAGTAATAATTTTTTTTTTTTAGTATTTCTTAAATTAACATTAAAAAAAAAAATAAGAAAGATACCATTTGAAGAGCTAATGATATTTTACACAGGTTCCCATCCTATCTGGTGGAATAAAATTGAGACACTGTATAAACCAGACTGCTTTGAACAGACTCTAAAATGCTGAACCTATCTGAGATCTAGCAAAAACAACAGCAAGCTCCACTTTTTATTTAATAAACTAGTAAAGTTTAAAAATATCCCTGAATTTAATCTCAGAGTAATTTATCAAGCAATCAGTTTGCAATCTTCCAGCCTATCCTCCTGTAATAAATAAGATCTGGTAACTTTCAGTTGGTACAATTGAAAATGAACTGCAACTTAAACATATATCTGTAAAATCACAAACAGTTCTTGCCCAGGGAACTTGTAGCATCTGTATCATTTGTTAAATAACTCATGATTAGTGCTAATGTTTTCAATAGTGCTCCAAAACTTCACTGACTGAAAATTAAAAATACATTTACAATATTAGATAGAATAATTTAACCTAATTTTCTTCCCACTTAATTTCCAAGGGCTCTCTTCTGCTGCTAGGTAAAACAACAAATCCCACCATAATGAAAACTAATTTTGTGCAAATGTTGATGTTAATGTCTGACCTAGAGCTCTATGTTTTCTTCACAGAGTCTTGTCTCATTTATGTATGTAAAAATCTTGAATAATTTCTAAGTGAGTCAAATGAATTACTGCAGAATTAGATGGGTTTAAACAAAATCTCTTGAAATTAGACTTTATATCTTACTGGCTAAGTAAAGGGCATGTTTACCTCTGAGCACAATTACAATGTGTTTACCTATTCTTAGTTAATATTTTTTAAATAATTCAAAATCATTTAAAATGGTGGAATAATAATTATACAATGATGGAAGATGAACTGAGTGCTTGAACAATTTTACTGCACCCAGGTTAGAAATTTTCACTGAATTTTAAACTCTTAAATCAATATTGAGCAATTTATGGAAAATCTCATCAAATAATATAGTAAGATTCATCCATAAGCAGCAAGAGTATCAGTTCTGGTGGAAATAGGAATTAATCTGATTTTACACCTAAACATAGGTGTTTTATATAATTATTTTAACAGCAACTGTATTTAGATGAGACTGAAATATGTATTTAATTAAATATGTTCTGAATTAAATCTCCCAAGCATTTTTAATGTTTACTCTACTAATGTTCTGCAGTCCTCCCTAATTACATTGATCAAAATATTTCTATATGTAACACATGTCAAAGGGATTCAGTATAGAAAAGTTCAGCTGGCGTGGGATGAGAAAGCTGAAAATGGCATATAGTGAATGGGTCCTGATGACTTGCAGTTTAGTGCATGACAGATATATTTTGTATGTGCTATCCAAGGTGTGAGGGAGGATTTAAACAATCCTATATGAAGGATAGAACCACATGAAAGTAGGATGAGAGAATTTGGGTGTCTTTATTTTTTCCCCCAAGAGGAAAATATTCTGTATCCATTTTAGCACCGGATTTATCATTTCAACTTATTTGATAGCATTTTAGGAAAACAGCTTTGCAAAGCAGGAGCCCCTGACAAGCAGGTTAAAAGCTGTAAGCATTAGGATTAGCCAGTGCTTCTATAGGACCTGACTCCTCTTTGGTTAATACATGAAATCGTTCATTTACAAGTGATGAAACATTTAGGGTGTCAGTTTTTGTAACCCTGAACGGATGAAGGGTGGGTTATGGCCTTTATCATAAAATTTAAGTCTTCTTTCTCCACTCAGAGAAGCATAAACCTATTTTTCCTGCACTGTACGTGCCGCTTGCATAAGCCACGGGAACACTGCTCTGCTTTCACTCTTCTTCCGCTATGCTTTGGAGATTAATCTGCAACAGGGGATGCACAAATCTGATGCAAACTGCTAAAGCTGATCTTAAAATGAGCAATTCATGGCCAGAATGCAGTTTGCTAGATTGTGTGAATGAAATGAAAGTGGTTTGTGCTCTCTCTAAATAAAAGACTCCACCCCTGCAGCCGCTGACATGGTTGTAAAGGCAGATTGTGCTCTCTCAAATTTGCACTGAAAACGAGGTGGCCAGCACAAAAATGAGACTAACTGATCATGACAACAGAATAAAAATAACAAGCTAAGTATCCTAATTATCAACCTAACCAGGGATCGTGAAGGGAAGAGATGTAATGTTCCTCTGTGTTTTAAAGAATCTTCCATTTGAAAGCCTTGGAATATTTGAGAGCCTTGGAATACTTAGCTTTTCCCTGCAAGGTGGATATCGCCAAACAAGGCAACTAAATAAGTTGCCCAAAGCTCTGAACGAGATCTAAGGAAAAACTATGAAGAGATTCCAGTTCTGTAACTGCATGTGATGTTTTTCTTTATGGTTTTGCTTATCTCCAGTTGTGTAGCTGAATTCTTGCTCTACTGTTGACTGTCTCATGGTATGTCCTGGATCTGCCCAACAATATGAAAATGTAATACTTTTCAAAACACTGGGCTTTGTTTTTCTTTAAAAAATGAGCAAGTTAATGAGCATGGGATGAATGAGTGACAACAGTAACATGTTAAAAAGGGATGCCAGAGCACATCAGCCCAGATCTGCAGTATGTAGGTTAAGCAGCAAGGAGCGAAGCAGTCAGTCACCTTCAAGTCAAAGAGGAGGATCTTCTTTCGGTTACTTTTTGTTTTTTTTTAAATATCTAAAGTATTTTCAATATCCATAGAAAGGGAATTTTTAAAGCAACTCTCCATTGACTTAAGTGCAACAACAGTGTAGCTGAAGGCAGATCTCAGCATTTCAGGCTGGCAGCTCAAGCTGAGGCTGCTCACAAGGGGACCCCTTAGTCCAGTGATTTCCATCGTTCTCAGATTTGGTCCTTCCAGTGGATCTGCAAATTCCCAGAGTGTGAATTTCACAGAATCATAGAACTAACTAGGTTGGAAAAGACCTTTAAGGTCATCAAGTCCAACCATTTAAACCTAATGAGAAGCAGTTTGGTTTTGAGACCCATGATGTTGGATTGTGGACCATCACTGACTGCAGTTCAGGGCTCGAAAACCACTGTACTAAGAGTATCCCCAAATTGTGATAGTGGGTTTGATTCAGCATAATAAACAGTACAGAAAGTCAGGAGGATAAAAACTAAAATAGTTGCAACTAAAGCCCCTTGGGTGCCTCAGGAGACTGACAATAGAGAACCAGTGACGAATTAGGTAAAACTTAGACCCACCAGGCTGGTGAGCTAGGAAAGAGACATGGTATCAATTTTCTGTTGTAATAACACCACACAGCAGTAATGTTGTCCTCTTGGTGAAGTTACAAATAATCCCATTTTCACAAATGGAAAGTATTGTAAGGATGGAAAGAGAAAGCCTTCATGAGATCCATCTGTTCTCCAGTTCTTTGCCAGATGAATCTGATTTTTCCATAGGTAGATCAAGGCTGGTTACTGATTCTCAAGAAAGCAATGAATTCCCTCCTTGGTCAAGTGCATTATGCTGAATGCATCCCTGATGTGATTCTGCTCAGAACAATCCTCTTGCTCCATGGATGAGCCTGTTGTTTGCTCCATTGGCTTGAAGCAGTTTTCCCCGTGTTTCTCCCTGAAGGTGACTCTATTTCCTTCCCTATTATCAAGTTCAAGCAATTGCACATCATGGACCAAAAACTATTTCATAACATCTCTGAAGCTTCCAGGCAAACTCCAATTATATGTCTTCAACCAAGCTCACAATATTTATTATTATTTTTATGACAGCAGATGAGTAATTTGGGGCTGAACATACATACATTTGCAACCCCAGGAGCTGAACAATACTCCTAGCACTGTTTTACAAGCCTTGTTGGTTTAATAACATCTTCTGCCTCGGTACAAGGGAACTTCATCAAGATATGCCACCCTAACAGTGATTTGTATTCCTCTACATCCTGCATATATGGGATAGCAAGGACAAATAAACTTCAAGGTTTATTCTGCTGGAACAATTATAGTGTTGCTATACTAATACCATTCTCCCTGTAGTGCTTCTGAATGATTTGATGGTACTCTGGGGAAGGACTAAAAGGAAAGCAAGCATAAGAGGAAGACAAGCAAGTACACAGAATAGGATACTAATCTAATAGCTTATTGTGTCTGAATATGCTTAATGCAATAATATAACATTAAGGTCTCAGACAGGGCCAGGAGAAGAGGCCTATAGAAAACGATGAAGAAAAGTGTGAGTGGATCACCATTTCCTCTGAATATTTTTCCAGACTCTAGTCAGAATGCCTTTATATTTGATGATTCTTAGTGAATGTTGGTAATAGCACTTATCCGCTGTCAAAAACAAACCTGAATGCCTGTTTTATCACAAGACAATGTAGAAACACTGGAGATGAGGAAAGAAGGTTCTACAGCTGTTAGCAAACCTCTGGCTTTTGTTGGCCATGTCTCCACTAACAACATCTGGCACCAAGGTTTGCTGGCATGAAATGGCCTGTGCCTATCCTAGCCCTCTCTCTTACCCTCCAAATACATATCAGAATAGTGAGCTATCTATTAGCTGTTATAAGACAGTCCCTTGGCTGTATCTCCTAAACCGCTGCTGGAATTGTTTGAGAGAGACAGTGCTGGCCGACCCTTCCTCAGCTAGCCAAGGGCACTTCCAAGATGCATGAAGAACCAATTTCTTATGCCAGGAAATATTCCATATGTAGATGTAGCCACTGATCTAAATTTGGTTATGATGGGTTTATAGCAAGCATGGCTAACACACTGCTTGTGGAAACACCTTTGATAAGAAAGTAACTTTAGGCAGTCACATCCTAAAGGTGTTAAGAAAGAGATGTGTTGTTGGATGGATGTTCCTATCACCCTACCAATTCAGGTGAAACATGCAGAGAAAAAAGGAATAGACTCTATGACTATGTGGCATATTATACCTGAACAGGACTGAACAGTCCTAGGTAATGGATGAACTAATATTATTCTGGACATACTGCTGTCAGTTCTGCTTTCTCAGTCATTCCAATCTTCAGTGGTATTTCAGAAATGATCACAATGTGCTTGCAGCTTCACTTACTGGCCCCTGTTTTTTCTCAGCAGTACGTAACTCATGTTCTGCCAGGCTGACACACATATTCAAGTGTTCAAACAGGAACAGAAGCATTTTACTTGCACTAGTGGTGGTATGACATACCCTTCAATTGCTCCTCCTTTTTCATATAATGCATTTATAAGCATTATATGATAAAGTTGATTTGCCAGGTTTGGAAATCAACAGATGGTGATGGGTATAGAGCTGAGCTGCAGTATACCCATGCACATCTTGATAGACATACAGATACGTATACACCAACAATCAACATGGATAAGATGGCAAATATATTTGATCCTCAGTGAGGTGGGTTTAGAGTAATTCACTGACATACTTACAGAGCTGGTCAAGGTTCATACCTTCTATAGTAATGGCTTGGTCTCCTCTTCTTTCCTGGGTCAGGGCTGCAGCACTGTGATGGTAAAGTTCTGCCCCACTTTTTGCAGACCCTAATCTGTTCACCAGCTGAAGAGAATCATGCAGTACCAAATGAAATGCAGGATGTTTGGCTGTTTTTTGTATAATAAAACCTTCCTATATTACATTATAAATTCACTACAATTACATGACAGCAGAAATGTGACCCCAAATCTAAGCCAGAGTTTGAACGAATGCACTGCTGCTCAGTGGAGTTCATGATAATACTTTACCTTCAACAATTCACAAGGAGAAGTTACAGCACATTAGCTACCTTACAGTTATTTGTAGTTTGCTCCGTGGCCTGTAACATGGTCCTGAGGCAGCTCTGTCTCTACCAACAGGCACAGATTCCTG